CATCGCTTTGATTAAACAGGAAGCAGAAGCGCCGGTAGATGACGTGCCTCATCTAATGCAGGAGATGACGGATCTAACAGGACTGACTTTGGAACAGACTTCTGTCRGTTTAGAAACTGATGCCGAAACTAAAGAGACYGAAATGATCAGCCGTGCGGAATCTCATATGATAGCGRCTGTCTTTTCTGTTCGCACTAGTAGTTCCGTTTTTTCCAGTGTCCATAATCRATGGGAAAGGCCGGCTGATTGGGTGGACGTCTCCCTCATGATTCCTGGTCGACCAACAATCACCCTTCCAAACCACGTCCCCACAGAACTCCAAAAATCGTTAATTAGTGTTTTGAATGGCTACGTGGAAGTATTGAGTGTGTGCGATAATGATATCGGYCTCACTAACGTAATTGAACATGCCATTCTTACTGGGGATCATCCACCCATTAGCTGCGTGCCTTATAGGTACTCACCAACTCAAAGAGCGGCCGCTTTTCAGCGAATCAAAGAGTTCGAAGCTAATGGATGGATCGAACCCGCCATAGGACCATGGTCTTTTCCCGTAGTGATTGTGCCTAAAAAGGCCGRAGGGATCCACATTTGCATCGATTATCGAAAATTGAATGATATCACGATTAAGGATGTGTATCCCCTCCCCCGAATTGATGAGATGTTGGATGCGATTGGGAGTGCTCGATTTTTCAGTAAGTTTGATGTTCGCCATGGGTTCCATCATCTTCTGGTCCGAGAAGAAGATCGCCCGAAGACTGCGTTCGTACTCTTCGAAGGTACGTGGCAGCGGATTCGATGCCCAATGGGCATCTGCAATGTCCGTGCCACTTTCCAACGAGCCATGAACATGGCCTTTCAGAACTTTGTGCGGAAGACTCGTCTGGCGCAGAGTATCATTAACTAATGTGTAATTGTGTACATGGATGACATTTTGGTGTACTCGAGTTTTTATGAGGGGCACGTGCAACACATGGAATGGGCGTTGCATGCGTTACGAGATGCCGACTTCAAGGTGGCGCTTGAGAAGTGCCAGTTCTTCCTTACCACCATTTCCTTCGTGGGACACGTGGTAACGGACCAAGGACTCAGACCGGAGCCGCAGAAGGTGGCAGCTGTCCGAGACGCACCAGTGCCGACGACTATTACGCAAGTTCGCGCCTTCTTGGACCTGGCCACGTACTACCGAAGATTTATCAAGGGCTTTGCCGCCATTGTGGGACCCCTCATGAACTTGCTGCGAAAGGATCAACCGTTGATCTGGACACCAGAATGTGATCAAGCGTTTTCAACACTCAAGACCGCTCTCATTTCGGCTCCAGTCCTTATAAGGCCGGATCCCGAAAAGCCTTTTGTTCTCATTACTGACTGGCAGCCGGAGGCAATTTCGGCGATCCTGGCCTAGGTGGGACCAAGCGGACTCGAGTGCGTGGTGGAGTACGCATCTAAATCGGTGCTCGCCTGGAAACGCAACTACGCCGCTCCGACGGGAGAACGCTACGCGGCTCTCTGGGGAATCAACCACTTTCGAGCTTACTTGTACGGGCGGAAGTTCACACTGGTAACCGATTATGAGCCTCTGCTAGCCCTGAAGAAATCCAAGGATTACTCGGGCATGATCGGGCGATGGGCAACKGTGCTGCAAAGC